GTAGAGTGCGGCGCTTGGGAGCGTGGCGGCACTCCCGCCAAGGGTTCGGATCCCATATAGAGACCGGTCCGCTCACTGGTTGAGCGTGGTGCGGGCGCGACACCAAGGGTTGCGATCCCGTTGCGGTCGCAGTACGGGCGCGACACTGAGGGTTGCAATCCCGTTACTGGTCACGAAAAAAGACAAAAAAAGGAAAAAAAAAAGGGGGGGGGGTATTTTTCTAAATGCCCTGAATTTTCCAGAAATGCAACCACTGTAGTACTTTGTTTTGTTCACAACTTTACTACGATTTATTTGCCGTTTTAGAAAATCATGTCCACAAACTTAACAATGCCGATAGTACTTAAGTCACCGATACAACACACCTATATCAGCCTGCACTTGCAGTTGTCACATTCATCGTGATTCTACATTACAGGACATCAGCATCTGACTGCTTTATACCTTCTAATGCCTGAGCATTTACATACTAACACACAGATTCTTTTATTTAAAGTGGTTTTGTTTTATTTATCCCCTATTTTATATGTACAGCTTCATAATGATTTTTTTTAAATAATGTGTGTAGGAAGAATATAGTGAATATAAATTTTATTTCAGGAAGTAAAGGGGGAATTACAAAAAGGGGAACTTTGGGTCTACAATATGGGTTGAGATATACTACTGAATGTGTAGAAAAGCCAAATCAAAAGGAAAATAAGAAAAATAAAACCACCTGAGATAGAGGAAAGGAACCTAACAGTGTCCCCATCCCCACAAGGGCTTCACAGTTCCAGTTAAAGGGGGATGGGCAGAGGGTGGCCTAGAATCTCACCATGGTGACAGCCAGGCTGGGAAGGCGGGTAACAGGAGGGGCCGGCTGCAAGCCCTCTCTATCTCCAGACTGTTCTATCACTGCCTACAAGGATATTATGAATAGACTCTATATTCAAGCTCTTTCATGACACTTTTAAAGGTAACATTTCAGGACCAGGTACAATCTCAACATTGATATGGAAGATCATACTGGAAATGAATACATATTGGATAAATCTTACCAATAGTTTGGTAATAAGAAGAAATTACAAGTCCAAGTTGTGAGAAGGGAAGTTTGCTTTTCTCCACTGAACTGAAAACCCTGAAGTGCTCCTGAGAAAGGTCAGGGGGTGTTGACATGTGCATCTCTTCTGTCCCCAGGCAAAATTCCACCTTTCCAGAAGAGAATCTTGAATTGTTTACTCCTCCTTTATCTCCTAAATTCAGGGAAAAAAATAATAAAAAAGAAATTTTAAATGGAAAAAGAAGGGAAGTTGGTGGGGAGGAAAAGCGCAGAGCAAATGGAAAGAGAGAAGGAAGGAAAGATTTTGTATATAGCTAGGACTTCTCTGCAGTTTGAGGGACACTGTTTCCTTAAATTTAGTATCCAAAATCATTGCTGAAGATCCCAGGTGTGCGTGGAGGGGCTCTATACCCATGTTATTTCATAAACAGCACTACACCAGGAGCCCTCAGTCAGAAAGCAAATGCTGAGCTAATGCTTCGCTTCTCGTGGGGATTGGTGGAAGTTACACAGCTTGGGTTTGCCTTTTTTAAATAGCTTCCCACAGTAAGATGTTAGTTTGCCTCTGGGGTAGAGACCTCTGGGATAGAAGCAACTCAGATAGTTCTGGCCTGAAACAGGAAAAAAGGGTTGGGGGGGGGAGAACTTGTCTCTTTATAAGATCAGAGAACACACAGGAAAAAAAAAAAAAGAAAGAAAGAAAAGGAAAAAATGTTCTAGGGGAAGTAGTCAAAAGTCCAGAGAGAGAAGCCAATATGGATTTTGAAGTCTACAGCCTGAGGACTAGTGATAAGCTACTGAGAGTGTTTTGGTACCAGGTGTGAGATTCGGAGTGAGTTGGTATAAACCATTCTTACAAATTGTATTTGCTTTTTTTATTCATGCCGTTGCCCATTGTTAATGTATGGAGTGACTGGCAGAAGACAAATACAATATGGAGACTTAATTTAATATAATGAGAGTCTGTAGACACATCACAGAAAGTGCTGGGGGGGGGTGATAAAAACAATAAGCAAATACATAAATATGTAAATAAATAAAACTGTTGGTGGTTATAAAAAATATTAGTCAAATTTCTAAAAGATCAGTTCAGTGGAGATTAACATCTTAATTAGATATGTTTAAATCTATTTTTAATAACATTAAAACACAATTATTTTATGTTTATTTAAGTCTATTATTTAAGTTTATCTTACTATTCTAATAAATTTGAACAGCAAAAATTATAGATATAAATTAAGATTTTAAAAAATTTTTAAATAGCCTAAGTGTAGATAATTCAGGATTTTTTCCCAGCCTAAATTTGAGTCTATTCTTCTTCTCTGAGGTTACCACTTAACCACTCAAAGCCCTGCTTTTTTTGACTTCACAAATTGATAGATGCTGAGAAGGGAGAAAACAAATAAATATAATGTAACCAACGATAGTAAATATCTTGTTTTAAACTGAAAGAAATCTCTAAGATCAACAGATGTGATATTAATAAGAAATCTCGTGGATGCATATTTTTAAATGCATCCATTTCTTTGACACTGATAAAGTAGTTAACTCAGTGTGACTCAATCCATGTACTTACAAAAGTAAAATAAGGAAACTATAACACCTGCAAAGAAAACTGTAAGAACATAAATGAAGAGAATCAAACAATATTGTTTTTGCATCTACTGTATTCAAGGGAGTTTGCTAATTTCCCAGTAAGAGAGAAGAGGAGACCCACTCGACAAGAAGAAAGGGAGTGGGCATGTGAGCGGGGAAGGAGGGACAGACAGCGGGGCAGATGGGGCACATCCGCAGACAGTAACCCACACGCATGAAGATTCAGGGATCTAGAACAAGCATTTTACCTTGCGTCTGTGCAAGAAATAATGAAAGCAGCTTTCTGCTGTGTCGGACTGATCTGTTATGATATTTGGATTTTTCCAGGGTCTCTCTAAAGCACCTCAAAGTGTCGGTCACGTCCACGGGCACGCAGACGAGCTCTTTGGCTCTGCTGTATTCTGAAAGGAAAGGGAGGAAGGTTGGGGATGAAGCGCTGCACAGAGCCAACTAGTAGCAAATGCGTTTCTAATTCAGAGAATGTCTTGGTCCCAACCTAAAGCTGCTCAATTCAAAGTCCCTAGATCTGCAGCAGGTGTTTCAACATTTGAATCACTTTTTTTTTTTTTTTTTTTTTTTTTTTTTTTGGTTTTTTTGGTAGTTTTTTAAAAAAAAAAAAAAG